GGAAATAGATGTCTGACGCATCTTTGAAGCTTAAGATGGCTGCTTCCGGTTCGAGAAAAACTTGTAAATTCTATTAAATACCCCTCAATATGGGTATTTTTTGGAATCCAGGTAACGTGTAGGGACTGAAAACCATGTCTGATGTCTTTCTGACATTCAAGATGGCGGCTTCCGGTTGGTGAAAAACTTGGAAATTCTGTCAAATACCCCACTATACAGGTATTTTTGGAGTTGGGAAGACGTGTGAGAAACGGAAATCGATGTCTGAGTCCGTTTTGAAATTCTAAATGGCGGCTTCCGGTTGGAGAAAACTCTGAAAGTTCTGTCAAATACTCTACAACATGGGTATTTTTGGAATCGGGATGACGTGTAGAGCCCGGAAATCCATATCTGACGCCTTTTTGAAATCCAAATAGTGGTTTCCAGGTAGAGACAAATATAAAAATACTGTCAAATATCCCTCAATATGAAATCGTGTTGATGTGTAGAGACCGGAAATTCACGTCTGACGCTATGTTGAAATCCACGATGGTAGGTTCCGATAGAAGAAAAACTTAGAAACACTGTCAAATACACCACTATATGGGTATGTTTGTCTTGATGGTTAGAAAGAACCGGAACAGCAAAGTTTAAAAGTAGAATGGATTTTATTTAACGACTAGCTTGAGTGGAGTCTTGAACAGGAATGAAAAGTTTTTCACCGTTGTTTATTTAAGAAAACTTAGGTTGCTAGGGGTGACGTTCGGTCTCCAAGGAGGTGATCAGCACACTGCGTTACCGATTTACTCCAACACCCCCCCTGAATCGGTCAGTCCTAGGAGGGTCCTCAGTTCGCGGAAACGTCCAGGTTCCAGGGGCTTGGTGAACGTGTCTGCTATTTGGTTTGCTGTATCAATTGCTTCGATTTGAAGTCTTCCTTGTGCCACATGGTCGCGCAAAAAATGGTGCTTTACATCGATGTGCTTGACACGCTTGCTTTCGGTGTTTGTGGCCATTGCAATGCACCCACGGTTGTCTTCGTACACCTTGAATGCCGTGTCCGGTCGAACTTGCTTCAGGTCTTCAAGGATTCCGTGCAGCCACAGCCCTTCGGAGGCCGCGGCACTTAAAGCTGCATACTCGGCTTCACACGACGACAGTGCAACGGTTTGTTGCTTGCGGCTTGCCCAAGACACGGTGTTCCCAAAGACCTTAAAGACGAAGCCACTAACGGATTTCCTATCCTCAGCATCCGATGCCCAGTCAGCGTCTGCGTACCCGACAAGTGCCTCGGCGTCGTCGTTTTGCTTGTACTGGAGCTTCAAGTTCTTCGTTCCCTTCACGTAACGGACCACTCTCTTCAGGGCTTGCCAGTGGGCCTCATCAGGTTGAACTTGGAAGCGCCCTAGGTATCCAACAGCGTAGCATATGTCCGGTCGAACACACAGCATCGTATACATCAGGCTGCCCAGCAATTGACGGTATGGATGCGACACAGGATTCGCAGCTTGTGGTGGCAGGAAACAGCCTTTCTCCATTGGGGTTTTGACATGGTTACAGTCTTGCATGCCGAACTTCGTCAGCACACGGTCCACAGCAGCTTCTTGCGCCAGGTACATGCATCCGGTGGCGCGGTCGTATCGGATCTTCATTCCAAGGAAATGATTAACCATGCCGCAATCCGTCATCTGGAGCTTCTTGGAAAGAGCACGCTTGATCTCCTTCACCAGGTCCAGTCGATCGCCAGCAATGAGCAAATCGTCCACGTAGATGATTATGTATACCCCCCCTCGATCGTCGATCCTGGTATATAGACAGTAATCATGCCGGGAACGGGTAAAGCCGAAATCCAGTAGAAGGTCGTTTAGCTTGTTGTTCCAACAGCGGGGGCTTTGCTTGAGTCCGTACAGCGATCGATCCAGCTTGCAAACGAAGTTCGGCGGTGCTGCAACTCCTTCGGGTATGGCCATGTAGACGTCTTCTTCAAGCTCACCGTAGAGGAATGCGGTCTTCACATCGAGTTGGTGAACGTGCATCCTTCGGTGGGTTGCTACAGCAAGAACGGTTCGTATCGTGGCTAACTTTGCTACGGGGGAATATGTTTCGTTGTAGTCGACTCCGGGCTTCTGTTGGAATCCCTTCGCCACCAAGCGCGCCTTGTAACGGATCGGTTCGCCATGCTCGTCCGGCTTGATTCGGAAGACCCATTTCGATTTGAGCGGAACCACACCAGCAGGGCATCTCACCAATCGCCAAGCATGGTTGTCCGCTAGCGACTGCAGTTCCTCACGGACCGCTTGCTGCCAAAGAGCTTCGTCGGCTCGTCCAGCGATCTCCTTGTACGCCTCCGGGACATCGAAGATCGAACGCTCGGCCTCATCTCGTCCAACGGAACCGTCAAATAGTACATCGGAAACGTTATGGGGAACATCTGCAGAATGGGATTGCGCGGCAGTGAAAATTTTTCCAACCAGAAATTCTTTCAACTTACCGGGGAGTCTGCGCTCCCGTTCGCTGCGCCTCGGGGTTTCCATTTCGAGGTTTGAACCACGGTCTAGTTGCGAAGGGAGCGCTCCGGTTTCTTCAACACCGTCGTCTTCAACCTCGCCTTCTTCATCATCAGTCAGGATGTCGTCATGTTGAGCCACCAGCGGCTCATCGGGTTGAACGGACTGTTCAGGGGTTTGCACGTCTTCCTCATCTTGATCCTCGAACTCGTACGGAGCAACAACCAAAGGAGTTTCGTCACGGATCTGGGTGGCAAACGGAAAACTGTTTTCATTGAACTTGACATCTCTGGCTAGGAATAACTGCTTCTTCTCTTTGTTCCACAGGCGGTAGGCGTTCGGCGCATAGCCGATCATCACAGCAGGCTTGCTTTTCGGATCCAGTTTCTTCCTCTGTGCCGTGGACACCCAAGCAAATGCTTTACAGCCGAACACACGTAGTTTACTAACGTCCGGCTTGTGACCAGTCCACATTTCCGCAGGAGTCTTCCAATCAGATACCGCGGTGGTTGGACTTCTGTTTGTCAGGTATACCGCCGCTAGAACCGCTTCATTCCACAGATTCTTCGGAGTTTGGGCTTCAATCAGCATCGCACGCACCTTTTCGACGATTGTCCGATTGAACCGTTCGGACACTCCATTCTGCTGTGGTGTGTACGCTGCGGTTGGCTCGACTTGGATCCCCTTGGAAACGTACCAATCACGCTGGTCATTGGAGCAATACTCGCGCCCTTGGTCGACAGTCAGCTTTGAAATCGAATGTCCCAGAGCGGCACTCGCCATGGCCTCGTACTCTCGAAACTTCTGGAACACCTCGGACTTCTTCTTGATGGGATATACTACTGCAAAGTGCGTGTAATCATCAATAAAGGTGACGAAGTACCGAGAATCATCCCAAGCCGCTGGTGTAATTGGACCGCACACATCGGAGTGCACTCGTTCTAGAGGTCTTGTAGCACGGACTCTAGTACCCGTGAATGGTTCTCGGCACTGCTTTCCGAGAACACAAACATCACAAAAATCCAATTTATCTGGTTTCTCGGGAATACCTATTACCATGCCATGCTTCGCGAGTGTCTGCAAACTCTTGCTCCCCAAATGAGCCAGTCGACGATGCCACAGGTTACCAGTCACAGCTCCACACATGTTGGCCGCCACCGTATCGACACGGAGATCGAGCTCGTAAAAATCGCCCCGCATGGGACATCTCGCAATCAGGTCACGACCTTGCTTCATGATCGCTTCCTTTTTCGTGAATGTGACATCAAGATCCGCTTTTGCCATCTTCTTCACAGATAGCAAGTTCGCTCGAAGATCTGGTACGAAGAGGACGTTCTTCAAGCTGATATAGTTACCTTCCTTGTTGACGCCGTTGATCGTGCCACTGTGCCGGGAAATCAGGGATTGATCATCCTTCGCCACGTTTATGACGACAGGGTGCTTCAGCTTCGTGAGGTCGGCGAAACAGTGCTTCACATTCACAAGGTGGTCCGAGGCTCCGGAATCCAGCTTAAAGGAAACTGCTCCCTCGTCCTTTGTTTGGGAGCATCTCCCGGTCATAAAAGCCACCGCCTTACCTCCAGCAGCAGCGTTAGCTTCAGCGCTCCATCTGTCTTCAACTTCACACGACAGTCCTTGGCCTTGTGTCCCTTCTTCTGGCAACGGTTACACTTTCCGGTGAACTTACCAGGCTTCTGCTTCGATCCTTGGAATGCTGCAGGTTTCTCTTGGCAGGAATCCGCTGCCCGGTCGGTTTTCTTGAGCTCCTCGGCAAGAAGGCGCTCGCGAACAACATCCAGTTTTAGGTTTTCCTCACCTAGATTTTCCAGTGCCGTAACCAACGGATCGAACGACTCGGGAAGGGTAGCAAACAGCTGGGACACAATATCGTTCTCTTCAAGCTTCGCTCCGGCCAGCTTCAGTTGTCGGATCAGCTCTTCGAAGGTTTTCAGGTGATCTTTCACAGACGAACCTTCCATCATTCGTAGCTTCGCAAGTTGCTTCCTGACGAATGTCTGCGACGAGACGGACTTCTTGGCGTAGGCGGATTCAAGGCTCATCCACATCTCCTTGGACGTCTCCTTGTCCCGCACCAAATGCAGCAAATCGTCATGAACAAATGACGTCAGCAGGAACGCCGCCTTACCGTCATCTTCCTGGAACTTCGTGAGCTCGGCCGCTTCCATCGGAGGATCCTTCTTGATGATATCCAACAGCTTCACGGACTTCAGATACTTCTCCACTCGAAATTGCCAATTGTCGAAACCGGTGCCCGAGAACTGCGGGATCCCGTGGACCAAATCCTTGCGTGAGTCGCCCATAACCTCTTGATGGTTAGAAAGAACCGGAACAGCAAAGTTTAAAAGTAGAATGGATTTTATTTAACGACTAGCTTGAGTGGAGTCTTGAACAGGAATGAAAAGTTTTTCACCGTTGTTTATTTAAGAAAACTTAGGTTGCTAGGGGTGACGTTCGGTCTCCAAGGAGGTGATCAGCACACTGCGTTACCGATTTACTCCAACAGTTTGGAATCGAGGTGACGTGTAGGGACCGGAAAGCAATGTCTGACACCTTTTTGAAATCCAATTGGTGGCTTCCGAATACAGAAAAAAAGAAAAATACGGATGGGTTTTCCGTTCATATTTACCCCTCAATTGGACAGAATTCCCAAATTTTTCTCGAACAAAAAGCCACCATATTGAATTAAAAATGCAACAATACCTATATTGAGGGGTATTTGGTAGTATTTTTCAATTTTTCTGTAACTGGAAGCCACCATCTTGAATTTCAAAAAAGGCGTGAGACATCGATTTCCGGTCCCAACACGTCACCAAGATTCCTAAAATACTCATAAGGCGGTGTACTTGACAGAATATCCCAGTTTTTATTTAATCGGAAGCCGCCATCTTGGATATCAAAATGGCGCCGGGCTTGGATTTCCGGTCGATATACGTCACCCCGTTTCCAAAAATACCCATAGTAAGGGGTATTTAACAGAATTTCCAAGTTTTTCTCCAACCGGAGGCCGCCATATTGAATTTCAAAACGGCCTCAGACATCGATGTCCGGTCCCTACACGTCACCACGATTCCAAAAATACCCATATTGATGGGAATTTGGCAGAATTTCCCAGTTTTTCTCTAACCGGAAGCCGCCATATGTAATTAAAATGGCGTCAGACATGGGTTTCCGGTCCCTACACGTCACCTTGATTCCAAAAAATACCCATATTGTGGATAATTCGCCACGCAGAATAACCCTGCATTTATCAAGATTTTTCCGCTATTGAAAATTGAAGAAATTCAAATATCAAAGCAAAATAGAACGATTGGGAATTATCAAGCTTACTGGATCCAATTATTCAACCTGGAAATCGAAAGTGGAATTCCTGCTGATCCGAGATGACCTCTGGAAATGCGTAACCGGGAAACGACCAGAACTCGGTGCAGAGCCTAGACCAGCGGATGTAGCAGCAGTTGAAGCACCGACAAACCGACATGACATTTAATTCTGACTTATGCCCGAAAACCGTAAACGGCCGATTTTAATGTACAGTGATCCGAACTGTCAAAACCATAGGATTTTTAATTTGTACAGAATAGATCAGACACGAACCAATTCATAACTTTTGCATGCAGGCTCATGGCTTAGCTAAATATTTCGCGCGAACACGGAGCCAGATGTCAGTAGTGTGTTTTGGTCAGAAATTCTATTGTTTTTGCTATGGTCATTCATGTCGGTTTGTCGGTGGAATGGGTGCGATATCCTACGCAGGTGTGGAAGCTGCCTTCCTGTACATTCGATTGCCGTCAATGGATGGCAGATAGGACATCTTCAGGATTGTTAGAGCAACCGTACCAATGGGTAAATAAGGCACATTTACCAACCTCTACCATAAGGCTACTTGCGTACCGGGGGTTGCTATTCAGGTGGGGGAAATAGCAATCCGCACCTTGGGAAGTAGTGAGTTTATAAATTTAGCAACCCGGTAGCAACGCATCAGACGGTTGCTATTTTGAATAAACGCCAAAAGATTGTTTTTCCGGTGTGGAAAACGGTAACTTAACTTATGACTGTGATAGCAACGACCGGTGTGGAGAGGAGTGATTAAGCCAAAATGGAAACACTGTGCGTAAGTAAAATAGTGCCGCAAATGGCAACGACTGGTACGGTTGCTCTTATGCCAATAGCGGCAGTAATGCAGTTTGACAAAACGAAACAACTAGACGTAGCCTGGCCAATTACCGCATAGAATTTTGACAACTGATAAAGTTTGGGCAAGTGGACTTAGTTTGCCCGGGAAAGACTCAGCTTGATAATGTGTTTGGCCAATTTGGCTTTTTTCAGTTGCGTCTATCACTGATTCGCCCATTTAATAAATATATCATCCAGGATCAATGAAATTTACTGTGAATTCAATTAGCCGCCATCATTGTTTAAAAATAAAAGCTTCCCAGTTTTAGTTTCATTACATTTATTTCACTGGACAGTTATCTAGTTGACTTCTCTATCATGGTACAAGCTGTGTAGTGGTAGGTAGTTCGAACGACCCAATTCTCACTCATATAATGCTGCTTACTCTTGCACTCATCATCATCATAAAATCAATTGTCATTCATAACCAATATACAAAATCTATACACCCAAAATTATGTCATGAGAAACACAAATCGCAAATTGGTCGTAAGGAATAAAATATTACTAATAATAATAAAAAAACGTATTACGCCTAATCACTGTATCTGTGTGTTCAATCCCGCCGACTGATCTTTATCCGTAAGCCATCCTTCGGTCTCAGAATAAGTTCCCCCAGGAGCGTCAAATTCTCCCGCCGATCGACCGCCTCGATCCGGTACTTTCGCAGCACCGCCGAAATGATCGACTTCTCCTCCAGCACTGCAAACTTCTGCCCAATGCAGTTCCTCGGTCCGGCACTGAACGGAATGTACGCGTACGGATGCCGTCCGCGGCAGTTCTCCGGCAGGAAGTTATCCGGATTGAACTTATCGGGATTGGGAAACACGGATGAATCGCGATGCAGCTGGTAGACCACTATCATCGCTGTCGTACCGGCAGGGATGGTGTAGTCCTCGATCTGGACGTCCTCAACCAGTTTCCGGGCGATCAGCGGAACGCTCGGGTACAGCCGGAGACCTTCCTTGATGCAGCATTCGAGATACTTCATTTCGTTGAGTTCGTTCATGGTGGGGAAGCGGTTCCGATCGCCCCCCATGATGTGATCGATTTCGTCGACGATGCGATCCTGGATCGACGGCTCGGCGCCCAGTAGAAGCAAAATCCACGAAATGGCAGCCGACGTTGTGTCGTGACCTTCGAACATGAACGTATCCACCTCTTCGCGGATGTCCTCGTGCGATAGTACCGTTCCGTCTTGCGATGCCTCGATCAGCAGATCCAAGAACGCCAACCGCTTCTTGCGGCCAAACTCTTCCGGGTTGTTGTTACCGTCCAAAATAGCTCCGCTGGCTTCCGCGGTCTTCTTGGTGGTGTTATTGTTGGAGAGCTTTAGCCTTTTGATCTCTTCTTTCCGTTCGAGGATTACCCGGTTGGAGAACTCGTGTAAGATCGACAGGCATCGCTGGTGGTTACGGTAGTCTTCGGTACGCTTGAAGATGAAATCCGGCTGCAGCCAGATCTTCTGCTGGCGGTTCTGGACGATGCTTCCGATTCTGAATTGGAAAGAAAGGGTTGAAATTGATGACATTCCTTTAATAAAATTAACACCCAACTTACTGATAGACTGCCTTCACGTATTCCGAATCGGAGTTCTTCTGAGCGTTGATCAATCGACCCATGGCAGTTTCTGAAATCCGAAATAAAAAATCCCCATTAGTTCAACATTTTTTTCGTAGGTTTACCCGCGCAGAAAACTCACCACAAACGACATCCAGTGCGCACAGGGTCACGTACGGGAAGCAGTTGAAGCCCTGCTCGTTGCCGAGTTCCTTCTCCAGTCGCTGCACCAGCACGGCACTCTGCTCCTGGAAGATGTCGACAAAGTCGTCCAGGATTTTGAAATGGAATGCCGGCGTGAGGATCTTTCGGCGCGGGTGCCATTTCTTGCCCTGGCTGGTCAGAAGCCCGGTGCCGAGCCATGGCTTCAGGAACTCGTAATCGTGACTCTTTTCGATGTGACGTGGACTGCCGAGAATGGGCTGCAATGTGAAGGTAGGCATGGAAGAAATATGAGTGGATGATTGCGGAAATAAAGCAAGGAAGTATGGAGCGGAATGATGTACGGAGGTTTGTGCTTTTCAGGGCTGGAAGCGTCGATCGTCGAGCTGGCGTTTAGGGCGTTTAGGTTATCAATCGCAGTTTGTTTAGCGAATTCGATCTTCTCTACGTTACAATATTGTTTCTTGTTTTAGAAAAGCATGAACAATGGAGCATATCGCCAAGTCAATCATCAAATCGAATCAGCTCGCGACGACATAAAGGACATTGCGATAACCTAACTAATAGCGAATTCGTTTTATTATCAGGTTTGGAACCAGTGCGAAACGCGCAACTGAAAAATAACACAGCAGCGGGAACATATGGAGCGCAATCGGAACTGATCCGACATGGCCCGGAGTCCTTACATCACACAAACCGCTCCGCTGAAGTGAAGATCAAGTATTCATAGTAAGACAGATACTAGATGAGCGATGGAGAAAAGGTAAAGTGACATCTCTGTCAAGCCTTCGACCACATAGTACTTCGTGCGCTAGGAGTACCGGTGTACCTAATAAATCGGATCGTAAAGTGTTGCTTAACGGAACGCACCTCACTTCAATGGTGCAAGGATGTCCACTATCGCCAAAGTTGTTTGTATACCTTTTGGATTGCTAACTCTTCCATCGCAGATCGAAAGACTTATTGCAAGCCTTACTCCTGCCTTAGAGGCGTTCGGTTTGCAACTCAATGTATCCAAAACCGAAGTTCTAATGCGTAATCTATCAATAACAGTTGCTCGGGACCCTCCACGCCAAGGCACTTTTGGGCGTTACAATACGGGTGGTAACAAAGATGAGATACCTAGGGATATATCTCACAAGCTCTCTGAATCGCAGGGAGGCAGTAGCTGAAAGAATTTCAAGGGTATGGTGGAAAACATCTGTCCGCATATATCACGCGGTAATCGCCCCAATCATCCTGTATGGTCTAAAAGTGACAACGTTGACAAAACACAATCGAGATCGTCACGAAGGTGAGTTCAGAGAAAAATTAGCAATTGGCGTCCGATTTGACAACCGAAATTGAAAATCGTCACTGACAGCAGCTTTTGGGATTTTCACTAATGGGGCTGTAGTGGATTATCTCATTTGTTTCAATACATAAAGCTATACTGTCTTCGACAAAGTTGCTGTACTGGGTTAGACCAACAAGCCTGTGCCATTGGATTCAGGTTAAATTGGGATCTACGCCGCTAGAGGCGCTTCACTTTTATGTTACTTATGACGGGCGCTATAATATATGGATCATATTTCCAACATAGAATATTTCGTGATCCTGACCATATAGAAAGTTACTGTCTTCAGCAAAGTTGTTCAGGTGACCAAGTCCTTTCGGATGGTGGCTATATTAGTTCAGAACTCTCTCATTACGCAGCGCTAGTGTGCATGTGCAATTCCTATATAAACTGTATCTCGAGAGCCTGGCCATATAGAAAGTTGCTGTTTTCAGCAAAGTTGTGCAGGTGATCAAGTCCTTTCGGATGATGGCCATATTAGTTCAAAACACGCTCACTACGCGGCGCTAGTGTGCAAGTAAATTTCCTGTATAAGCTGTATCTCGAGAACCTGGCAATATAGAAGGTTACTGTCTTCAGCAAAGTTGTTCAGGTGACTAAGTCCTTTCGGATGATCGTCATATTATTTCAGAACTCTCACACTACGCGGCGCTAGTGTACACATGAACTTCCTTAATATGTTATGTCTCCAAAGCTTGTCACATTGCTGTGCAATGTGAGAACAGGAACCGGAAAAGGGATGACGTGTAGAGGCCGGAAATCGATGTCAGATGCCATTTTGGAATCCAAGATGGCGGCCATCGGTTCAAGAAAAACTGTCAAATACCCTACAATATGGATATTTTTGGAAAGGGGACGACGTGTAGAGGCTGGAAATCGATGCCAGATGCCATTTTGAAATCCAAGATGGCGGCCATCAGTTTAAGAAAAACTGTCAAATACACTACAATGTGGGAATTTCCGAAAATGGACGACGTGTAGAGGCCAGATATAGATTCCAGACGCTATTTTGGAATCCAATATGGCGGCAACATGTTTTCCATGGTCACCATAGCCGATCGAACTCCAGACGAAACTAGAACCGCACTACCGTTCTTACTGGTGACAACGCTCTGATGAGACAACGAAACCTTACCCAAGCTCCTCCCCTGATCCTATCCTTCGACAATGTACCTCTCTTACCTCGAGTAAGCCGCGAGTTTCGGCCCAACTCCTACTAGACATAGAATTAAGTGAATGTTGTTACAAACAAAGAACAATGAACTATCGGCTCCGTAAAGCTAACGTGATTGAGCCTTCCAAATAAACGAACTAGTTAAAAAAAAACATGTTTTCCATATATAAGGTTTACCAAGAATATTGCGTATAATTTATTGTCTATAGCGTATCACTGAGCAACCAGATTTAAATAAAATGCTCCATTTGCAAAATAAAAGCATGTTAAGATTGCACTCGTATACTGCCCCGTGGAAAATTTTGAAACCACCCGAGTAGCACACTTTCATCACAATAAGTTACAGCAACTTGTTTATGACTGAAATACGTCGTATATAAGTTTCTCCAATTGATTTGTAACAGGCGTGCTACTAGGGCATCATCACTTTCATAGTTCTTCTATTCTCCACGTGTGCCAACTTTGATTTGCCAATTACCACTACCTACTTCTCTTCCTTCCGCTCTCAGAATTCGCCGATTCGGTGTCTCTCGTTGTGTTTTCTGCTGAGACTGAGCAATATTCGATACCGCGAAACATCTCCGCAGTTATGTTTTCTTTCGGCGCAGGAGATGTGCGGTAATCAAAAGTTAAGAATGTAGCTCAACATTTACAATAACATTCCACCAAATTTTCATGTGCGTAGTCCACTGCAACAGCCGAACGTACGAACGAATAGGGTGACCATAGCGCATTTTAAGAAAACGTCACAAGTTTTTATGGCTGTTTTAAATCAATAATTACGAAGAAACCATAAAGCCTACAAGGTTACTACCAAAGGCACAAATCTAGGGAACTGCATGGAAAATGTTTTGTAGAACAACTTAATAAACAGAAATGAAAATTTTCAACTTATAAACACTACAATGTATGAAATTTCACCAGTTTTTTTGAAACTTTCAACATACTTTTCAATTTTAATGTATGATAATTAACTTTAATCGAGTTCAAAGAGTTTCAAAGAGCATTGATAGCTAAGACTTTAATCTTTCATTTGGTATGTTGAAATCAGAAAACCACATTAAGATTAAAAAAAATATAGCTAACCAAAGTTGACAATACAAAAAAAAACATCAAATGTTGAATAACTCACTTAGCAGTCTGAAAATATGTAAAACCCGGAACCAAACACCCTGTATGTATACCAATTTTTCGTTTTCTTTTTTTTCTGCCTTTATTTTTTACAGTTTTAATGGACATTGAATAACCTGTTTTATTTTTTTATCATCCTAAAATGCACACTAAAAAGATGTTTTCGTCAGATCTTTGGTCAGCAAATAAAGCGTTGTGAAGTTCAGCAGTGCAGCAGTTTCGCATACCTTAAAGGGCGAACACGAAATTATTGCGACACATTCAACAGGGCATAACTTTTTTACCATTGGGTAAAAATCAACCAAATTTTGCACACTTTCTCATTGATGTGTATTGTGTACATGCTGTCAAACTCGAAGTCGTGTTTTTCGATTCAACGAAAATGGAGGTGAACCAACGCGAGTTGAGAGAACAAATTCTTTCCAAACACCTGGAATTTCCTGACCTGTCGCACCGGTAGTTGGGAAAAATGTTGAACATTCACCATTCAACCGTCTCCAGAGTGTTGAAGCGGTTCCAGGAGCGGTTGACGTTGGACCACGGCAAAGGAGCTGGAAGAAAACCGGGACCGGAGAACAAAAAGACGGAGGGAAAGGTGAAGCGGATGATTAAAGCAAATCCCAACGTCTCAAGCCGTGATTTGGCTAAAAAGATCGGCATGTCGCAGAGCTACGTCCAGAATGCAAAGAAGAGAGCTGGACTACATACATACAAGGTACAGAACTTCCCAAACCGCGATGAGCGGCAACAATTGACGGCTAAAACTCGGGCACGGAAGCTCTACGAGAAGATGCTGACAAAATATGGCTGCTGTGTGATGGACGACGAAACGTATATAAAAGCCGATTCTAAGCAAATTCCGGGGTTGGAGTTTTTCACCGGCAAGAGCAAGTTCGATGTGGACGACAAATTCAAGAAGAAGAAAATGTCGAAGTTCGCCTTCAAATATCTCATTTGGCAGGCCATCTGCTCTTGCGGACTGAGGAGTGAGCCTTTCGTGACAAAGGGCACAGTAAATGGCGAGATCTACAAATCTGAGTGCCTCGAGAAGCGCCTTTTGCCGTTCTTGCAGCAGCACGACGACCGCTATTTTGGCCAGATTTGGCATCATGCCACTATTTTAAAAGTGTCCTGGAGTGGTATGAGGCCAATTCTGTCCATTTTGTTCCAAAGGACATGAATCCGCCAAACTGTCCGGAGCTGCAGTACTGGGCAATAATGAAGCGGGAACTTCGCAAGAGCAAGAAGACAGTCAAAGACGAGAAGGACATGTTAAGAAAATGGAAAAAAAAACTGAGAAACTGGTACCGGATGACACTGTAAAGACTTTGATGGAGGGCATCAAGCGAAAATGCGTTCAATTTTACACTCAAGGCTCTCCATCGATTAACTTTTCCTTTGATTTTTGAAGTAATTATATGTATAAAACTACCCTAAAATTTTGGTTTGATTCTAAACATTATAAGAAAATTGGCATGACATTTTCGGTGTCGCAATAATTTCGTGTTCGCCCTTTATGGTTTTACATAGGGAGGGTCTAGACTCTTTCTGGTTTTACATTGTTTCACAAGGATTCCCAGTCATGGGAGAGGACAGTAATAGCACAGTGAAAAAGTTCACTACCACCAACAATCAATACGAAACTAACGATTTTAAATTGGCTCACCACTTTAGTAGCCTATTGGTCCCAAGCAAACGATTAACGTACCCTATTCTAGTTGAAATTCTATTACTACACTATGTTTGTTTTGATTCGCTATGAAAATTTGACAGATAACATCAGGGGTGTGTGGATTCATGCAGAACATGCAGGGGTGAGTGAAATAGCTTGGGACTGCTTGGGACCGTTGTTCTGGTACTGAGTGAGCCAAAAATAATAATGATTTTCTTCGGGACCCAGTGGTCTTAGAGTTACCTCTATGCTACCACTTATATTCCCAACCATCCCCTTCATCCATAAAATGAAGATATAACATGGTGAGTTCACCATGTTATATCTTTATTTTATTCTAGCAGACAGCAATTTCAACATTTATAAAAAAATCTACATATGCCAGCAATACCGACTGGGTGTATCCTATGGCTTACCTTCCCTACTAACATAATTCCAAAATTCCCTAGACATTTATGAGGGGTCGTAGAGTTCTCTGCATCTCTCTTAAGTAAATGTTGGACTAACATACCTTTCCTATCCCTACCAGTTGTAAGGACGTGGCCAGGACAATCCTTAACTGTTGGAGCTGGAAGTGTCTTTATCTGGGAAATAGTAATGTCCAGTTACAGATATCCGTCTTGCTCTTAATAGTTTTGAATTCGTACCACCTACGATATTGTGCAACTTGTTCGATGCTAATGCTAATGCTAATGCTAATCATTCCCGAGAAAGTTCTTCAAATTGTTAGGATCCGGAATAGTCTCCAAGTCCAGCCTTGAAAGTTGTACGTGGCCAGAATCTTGAGCTCACCTCTGCATCTCCACAATTGCCACACGGGAAGGATAGTTGTTGCTAGTGGGTCGGGTTATTTTTAGATTCGGGTTCACTGTGCTAAGTAATTTCAGTAAAAAGCAGCAGTCTGTTTTTTTTTAATTCAAATCTAGTGCGAAGGAGGGGACGAACCTGAGATTCAACTCACGACCTTCTGCTCAGTACGCAGAAACGGTAACCGCTTAGCTACCGAGCCTCGTCTCAAAACACAATTAATGTAATAAGGCTTCGCTAGAAAAACGGCTTTTCAGTTGACATATTTCTTCTGTGTCCAAATGAAAGCACGCCCTATGCGTTCCAGTCTGCTAGCTTCAGTTTCAACGGAATCTCAAAAACGCATCAATTTTAAATTACGTGCTGTGCTCACCGATAAGGCAACACTTGCTAATACAATTAGTGAAAACCTTATTTAAAAATGCAGGATGTTTAAGTGTTCAGGCGCCATGAAGTCTCCGCAATTACCCACTATACTACGCACACGTTGTAAGTAATGCATACACTGAAAAAAGTTTTCACATAGTTTCCATTAATCTTTTTTCCAATAACATCTGAATATCACATTAATATAATAGATTTCATTGGACAGATAAGGTTCATGTGATTAAGTGGTGCAAATTCAGGGATCACATGAAAGTAATTTTATGAGTGTACAACAACAAACGATGATCATTATCGCACACTGGCTCTGCGCTGCGCAGCGTTCATTCATTGTCGAATTGAAACTGGCTTTTCGCCGAGTAGTAAAAAGCAGTTACCGGTAACCATTCAGAGAGACAGCCAAACCAGATTTCGGTATTTAGGTACGACAGTAGGTATGTATTTTATTACTATTGAGGCAGGTCAGCCGATGGAAACGTGAAAACGTGAGGAATTGCGGTTTACACTTGAACAAGTACGATGCTTGACGAGTACGCACAGTCGCTGGAAAGGTAAATGAACTGAAATGATGGCATCTGTCTGACGAGCGGTATGTGTACTTCGAGGTGAGGTTCATGACTTAAGTAAGGCACATGGGTTAGCAAATTACTCTTTGTATTCACATTCACGATGTCCTTTCATATTTTTGCTTGATTTTTTAAGGAAACTAAAGACCGTGGACCCCCGGTAAAATGCCTAAACGTCATTCAGTATATGGAATGGTGGAAAACGAAATGGAACAATGCGAAACGGAACGCAGAATCTAAACAAAACAGCAAATAAGGCTACCAGAAACATGTATTTCTGATGCTTATAGGGTTACTAGAAGTGCTCATTAAAAATGAACCACGTCAATATGCATGAAGATTCAGATTAGCGGTACGATAAAAGTTCACGCAAAAAAGGACCTGGCAAAATAGAACCTATTACTTAAACTAGTTTATGGGATCGTTAAATTCAGGTGCCAATCAACATATTCATACGGATTCATTGCTTGGCAATATCCGCATTGGCCAATGCGATACGAGTTGCTCCTTCGAGAAGATGACTTTGTTATGTGATTCGCAGACAAACTTGTTTTTCCCGTTCCAAACAGCTTATAATTTTGATTCTTTCCACTAAACCAGTTTAGTTTTTTTTTCCGCAGCATCGTTTCGGTCGGTATGCGATTTTCTGTTGAGTCATTTGGTCGTAGCTAATCAATTCTCGAATAAATTGATTTTGTTTCTGTCTTGCATGTAGGCGTCATGGGCCCGTTTCAACCTTTAATTTAAATCTACGAAATCGGTTTGCCCTAATCGCATCTTACCTCCACTGCGCTGGCTTTGGAGATCAACACATAGGGCATGGGGCCGTTCCACGCTCGGCTAAATCCTTGCTGACGTCCGTAGAGCTTGCGAATGGAAATGATGCGGTTGAAAATCTCTGTGGTGCATTCGTTTCGGGGATGGGGTACCGGAAAATAAAGAAGTAAGGTTGAACTATTATTTAGTGATTAATATTAGATACGCACTTAATTAACTTCGATCTTGCCACAGCGCAGACGATCATAATGTATGTAGTATCACTTACACACTTAGAAATTATCGCCGACTTCGGTAATTTTTTTTCCGAAATCTGAACAGCTGAACTTTTCGGTAAAATTTATGCAATTCAATTCAATTGCTTTTCAGCTACTTTGAAACTAAATCTCCACTGAAATGACAAGATTTGATCATTTAAACAAGGTTGAACATGTTTTGACATTATTTTCAATAGCCTTTAAAATGAAGGTCAAAGTTTTACCGAACGTGCAGCTGTTCTGATTTCGGTAAAATTTACCGAACACGGAAACAAAATCTTAGTGTGTATGATACCAAATTCAGTGAAAAATTCGAGTGATTTCTAATCAACTGGATAGTTGCATGTCCTATAAACATCATTAATACGATAGATGGAGTAGATGAAAGCATAGAGTTGATAGTTCCGTTAGAGTACGGCAGTGTGAAGATTGCATATAGATATTAGAATAGAGAGCTAGGACAACTTTTAAGGTAGGTACAAATCGGTTTTTTCATCTCTCTTTACCAAACTCCCCCTTTGGAGAGGGATGGTGAGGGGTGTCCCTCCCCCCCCGCCATCACTGGCAAAAAGAGATGAAAACCGACCCGCTCAAGTACCAACTGTGTGTTTGAAACAGTTCTACCGATTTTTTACCGCACTTCAGTTGTTATTTGAAGGAAGGCATCCAGTCGTAGGTTTGGAAATTGCAACTATTGTTTACCCCTACCACCCCAGACAACCATTTGTTACGTATACCACAGTTACAATTGAAATATGCAAGCATATATACCATTTGTTTAAATCGTATGTAATGTTCAAAAATGCCCTTTACGTACAAAAGTGGAGGCAATATACAAGCATCGCCAAAACATTAAAAAAAGAAATGGCTAGATACGATTTTGATAAGTTATTTTTAAGACCTACATTAGCATTTTCTCCGATTTCTGATAGACTAAATAACGATTCCTATTCCTGCATTGATTTATGGTTTATATATTTACGATTAAATTTTTACCACAAGACCATTTTGTCTATGAAATATTACGATTTGAAACACTTTTATACACGATGCACTAATTGATTACTGATTTACTTCACCATTGTATGCAATTTTCGAGGTCCATAGTTACGATTTTGTTTGATATTTTAAACGACCAATAAAATTAGCGTCAAAAAGTATTTTTACATGCACACAACATCAATCAAAGCCCCAATGCACTAGGACTTCCGTATTTGGCATGAAACTTATGTTATACTTACATCTTACACCATTAAAACCATCACTTACTGGAATCGAACTTTGAACACCCGGGTTGTTAGTTGTCGAGCTATCCACAGCATCACACATGAGTTGTGAGTTTTGTTGATTCTAATCAATAACATTTCACATCTATCGTATGAACCATCAAAGTAAATCGTTTATCCATGTTGCTAAATGTTGCTGCAATACGAGTTGATTCATTGATAAATACAACTTTTTTTGTCGTCGTTTTTCACTCGTCACCCTATACGACACATATTTGACAAGGCGATGGAGCCATACTTGTTTACATTTGCGTCGCTATCAATAGTCTGTATGAATTCGCGTGAAAAGCAGTGCAATTCGCTTTAAAACTCAGCTCCGTGGTCATTTTTCACCCAGAAAAGGTAATACACAATAAAAAAAAATACATAAAGGTACCATAATATAACATCAAATATATTTTCCAGATGTTTACCGTGGCGCAATTTTTCGAAAAGCAACACCTACGAGTATTGGCTATTCCATCCTCTTGGATTCGAGGCGGCTGCTTGCTATGGCCAAAACTTCTATCAAACGATAAAATTGACAAAATGCGTGTAGATGGAACTGATTTTCACGGGGCTTCGAAAAAAATTCCGGCCATAGTAACCCGAAAATACCGGAGTCTTCAAGCAGCAGAAGCAGCCGCTGAAGATCTTTTAAAGCATGAAGTTTCTGACATAGAAACTAAACGAAAACTTCTGAAACACAGCAATGTGAAGCAAAATCCACGCAAGGATTACAACCGGGCCATTGAGAGTATGTTGCGCATATAGCAAATTATTTCGCAGCTATAATATCTATTTTTTTAGAAATTGTTTCTTCCAAACAGGCGAAAGTGCAACAAACCGGATCTCATGGAATCACTGTCGGTGCTAATGGGTCGATTCAGTCTCCCGGAACTCGAAAAACTACACCAAGGTCATCGTTCCAGACACCAAGTAAGCAACGACAAATCGAATCCTGCAATCTTATACGCCAGCCATCCGTACCGCTATCATCGTCCCTAACATCCAGCACTTCCAGTGCTCTAAGGACTGCACCAGGTGCATCGTTCCAGACTCCGAGTGTACCTCGAAAAGTTGAACTCACCCTAGCACGCCAGCAGATTTTACCAGAACGAGGACCATCCGAAACTTCCGCAGCACGAGAGATAGCAACAGGCGCGTCATTCCCGGTACCCGGTGTGCAGCAACAAGTTGGATTCGACAAACTGACACATCAGAAGACAACATCACGACAAATAATCCAAACACCAGGCACGTACGACATTCGCGAGACTGATCCAGGTCTTTCGTTCCAAACATTGTGTACCACACCATCCTCGTTTATAGCACCTACAATGATACATCAGGGACCAGCTCCAGAAGTTGTACCAAATCTACAAGAGCTATCTGATCAGTACAAAACTGAAAGGATCCCAACAAATGAAATGATGTATGCACCATCTTCTCCGAAAGGTAACGATAATTAATTCAATATCTGATTTTTTTTAAATTTTGTTTTGTTTTCTTTCAAACAGATCCAGCCTTAGGTCATCAGTCTACTTATCAGCAACCTATATTTGTTAATGATGATGGCATAATGTACATCACTCAAACAGACGACTCCGCCAACGCTGGTAAGAAATCGTCTGAAAGCATTCCTATATGATCATGTCACTAAGATATTTTCCTATTTTTAGGCAATCTGTCGCTCCTTCCTTTTGATGATTTCAAATGTGAAGTCGAAGCCCTCAGATCTGAAATGGCTAATTTGAAGACTGAATTCCACAATATGAAGCAGGAATTCAAAGAGACTATCTCGAATTCAATTCGCCAAGCCGTGACAGATTGCTTCGAAAGCAATTTCATTCGATTGGCTGCCATGATGGACATGTCTAAAACAATCGATGAGCCTGTGATGCAAACAGGGCAAATCGTCGAGGAGCATGTACCTATCAATGACGCAGATAATTTAACTAAATTTAACATACTATTGGCAAATGAGGATGTACGCAAACAATATGTAAGTTTTCTTTTTAATTTATCGACAAATCTTGACATACTTTTGTTTCAGATTGCCTACTACACGAAAATTGTTATCCCAGACACGTACATTGGAAGAGGAGATTCGGCTTTTTATATAATAGCAGATTGCCTATTTACGCGAGCGTTCTGGGACACATTTACCTGGACGGGAATCAATCGTGGCAACAAATCCAAAAAGGGGTTTCGCGAATTTGCCAACGTTCTTCAATTACTCCTGGCAATTGTACGTATTGGTGATCCAACGTACACATTACGAAATCTGGAAACATTTTGCAAAACTCGACTCTTCCGTTACTCGAAGGCAAGGTCTATCAGTAAGCAGCTACGGAAATCGGCTTGTCGTCTGAATCGGAAAAAGAAACACGACGGAAATGCGGATATTCCCATTGAATGCGAGCTTGGAGCAGGTGCTACAGATGATGAGGTCGATGAACCCGCAGCCGAAACTTTGGAAAATGCCGATGATGATGCTTCACATGCAGACAGTTCTATTGAGGGAAATGAACGTGAGCCAAACGCTGATGATACAAGAGAAGCTGATGACGTCGATGCAACCACTGATTCCTGTGACGACGACGTACCCGAAGTGAGCACGCTGTTCGATTCCGATGATAATGCTTCACCAGATTTTGCCGGATTTGAGGAAAATTAAATTCAATAATTTGGTTTTCATACGATTGCTTTGCTGTATTTCCGAATTCCATGATTCCAACATTGAAGTTGCGAAAAACATTGTTATTCTGATTCATTGTTTAGGTAAACTACTTCACAGTATGTATTAGAGGAACAAAAACAATTTCATTTTTCCATGGTATAGCAACTAGTTTACACATGATCGAACTGATATCGCACAATTGATTCTTGGATAAGTTACTTTTCTCTGCCTTAGCAACAAAAATATGAATAAAAGAAGATTTGAAAGGTTTAACGAAAAATTCATTCTTATGCGGTACATAACTACCTTCAATCACCCAATCCGAATTGTTTTCAATTACATTTTCCATACAAACAATATGAAGGTCTTTAGTTAGAATCCATTTATCTTCAAAGTTTGTACTCAAAATGAAGTCCGTTAGGGTGATCTTGATTTTAGATATTGTCTTCTCAACGGAAATAGTAGTTCTTGTATTAGTTGAACATGCATGGCTTATGTTTTTTGAAGTTTCATTATTAACAAGTTCGATCAAACGGTTTGCTATTTGATTCAAGGGCAGCGGTCCTGCTTGGATCATTTTTTTAATAGAATGTAAGTAATTTTCGAACGGATAAGCAGTTAGTGTACACAACGGTCCAAACCTTTCTACTTCATCTACTACGTGGCACAGATTATGAACATTGCTTGTAAGGTATTCTACTCCGTACAGATCTTTATATTCATTTATGAAATCATTCAACAAATCACGGGCAACTGGAAGATAACCATTGTACATTTCAATAGAACATATACGAACTGCACAAAACAAATATAGAAAATGATGATAGAATTTGTCAGGTAGAAAATCTTTAAGAAGTACCAAACTAACGTAGTTAAGAAAATTACGATACTCTAAACCTTTCCACAAAGAAACAAA